GACATTGGTTGCCCTTCCGTTATCCACCAAGTCCGTGACCCCATCGTAGAAGGCCACTATATTTGTCAGGCATGATCTGCCCTTGGTGAAGCCACGTTGGAACAAAGATGTTGAACACTACCAGTCCCAATCCCGACTCCTGAGGAACTCTGCTCTTTACTGGTCTCCACTCAGACACTGAGCTGTTGACCACCACTCTCTGAGTGTGACCATCCAGCCAGTTCCTTACCCACTGAGCGGTCCATCCGTCATATCCATGTCTTTCCAGTTTAGAGACAAGGATGTTGTGCAGGATGGTATTGAAAGCTTTGCACAAGTCCAGGTAGATGACATTGGTTGCCCTTCCGTTATCCACCAAGTCCGTGACCCCATCGTAGAAGGCCACTATATTTGTCAGGCATGATCTGCCCTTGGTGAAGCCACGTTGGCTGTCACCAATCACCTCCTCATTCTCCATGTGCCTTAGCATGGTTTCCAGGAGGATCTGCTCCATCTTGTACCCTTGCCAGCGAAGGCTGAGGCAAAAAAATTGAGCAATGAGAAGTTCACTGTCACAGAAATTAGAGGGAAAAGTGATTTTAGTATGAATTTGTGTTATGAGAAGGTCACTGTCACAGAAATTAGAGGGAGAAGTGATTTTAGTATGAATTTGTGTTAAATGCATCTTAACAGAATTTGATGACAAAGTTCATTCTGTCACTTACTCAACATGGAAAAAGCACTATAAGGTTCACTCTATCACTTACTCAACATGGAAAAAGCACACAAAAGGGAAATCCAGTTAGAATTGGGTTAAAATTATTTACCTATGGATGAGGGAGAATCGAGTCAGAATTGTGAGGGTGTGAGATTAATACAGAGACTAGAGAAGGAAGGTGAGGGAGACCCACTGAGTCATGAGGTTCAGAGTGTTGGTGTGAGATTAATACAGAGATTAGAGAAGGAAGGTGAGAGAGACCCTCCCACTGAGTCATGAGGTTCAGAGTGGAACCCCCTTGCTTTCTAAACTCCCTCTCAGAGGAGTCTACCAGCAGCTGAATCCACTCCTCGTTCCAGACTTGACCAAGGGTTTATATCGAAGGGATTAGGTGCGGGGATTTCGGTGTGATTTAACATGAATTTATGTGTATATATATATGCACATAGAAGTACCTGTTAAAATTTTCCCTTTAGTTCAGTGAAAATGCTCACTTTGGACACTTGTGCATCTCTCAATGGGCGAAGAGTTGAGCCCCAGGACTTGAGGGTTTCAGCGTGGTCCCGTTGTTGGTTTCTGACGACAGTCCTCCAATTCTGCAAACTTGAGAGTTGGCGAGCTCTGAGCGGCGTCCCACTCAGAGGGAGATGCCAGGCACTGCCTGCTGTGGTCCAGGAGGGCTCGAAGGGTGTCACTTGGGATTGCTGTTTACAGGGTCTTGAGGTGATTGACAGGCATCAGTAAATTTCCATCCCAGTTACAATCCAGTTTGGTAGTTACTGGAATTCCCAAATTGCCAGTAATCTGGTTCCGACCTACCCAGGTTGTTCCAGGACTGTTAGGGGATGATTAGCTGTTCCATTCTTACTCCCTACGAGGCAAGGTAACCACATTCCTGGTGCAGTCCCTGCTGTTCCCCACCTTAACAACGCAAGAGCGTTTGGTACCGTCAAGGGACACTTAACCGCCAAACTCATTGCCCAGTGGCCAAGGCTTGTCAGGAATCTCTAAGGCTGTAGAGCAGTCCAGGAGCTGGGGAGGGGGGAAGTGCACCATCACAGCCAGGTAACAATACTTTTGTAAAATACAAGTACTTTTGAGAGTTATCTAGCATGTAGCCTGATGACTCGCCGTAACTTTGTAGGATGCTAACAGATTTATTAAAATGAATTGCCTCTCTAATTTTTAATTTTTTTTAATAATATACAATTAGCAGATACATTTCTCTGTGCAGAAGGGGAGTTTATCAAATAATCAGTAATGTTCTCCTGTTGCTGTCTCCTGGCAGTATTTGGGAATCTTATTAAGACCATGCCCTAAAAATCAGGAACATTTTGGATGAGGGTTTGTGGTACAGGACGTATGCATTCCGGTTACTTCCTGTACTGTGGCGTGACAAGTGTTTGTTTTCCAGGGTACAGAATGTGCATCTGCCACTTACCTTGTCGTCCCATAAAACCACACCTCGTCGGAGACCAGGTAAAGATGCTGAATCGCAGAGATATTTGTTACCCTACAAAGTGGGGGAAGCGAGTGATTTAAGTCAACTTTTGCAATGTACTTAGTCTCAATATGTTCTTGCTGTCTAGCAGGGGAAACCAAAAGCTTATCAGTCCAGAATGTAAGTATCTGATACAACCCTTGGGTAGCTGCACGTAGTTGTAGCTCTCGTATATCGGTGGGTAGCTGCCCAGGTCCTGTAAAACACTGTACAGCCTGAAGTAAACAGCAGTTTGCGTGGAAGAGATGAAGAGTTCGTTAGGGCAGGCAGTGGATTCTTGGTTCCTTCCCTGTGTGCTGAGTACCTGGAGTATTTGCAGAGTGCAGCTGGTTGTGGAGCTGGGGCAGGATTGCTGTGCAGTCTCTGGCTGCAGATTCAAAATACTTTGCATGCGCTAGAGGTAACTAACAGACAGATGACTTCACTGGCCTGTGTTCAGGTGTAGTTCTACTTCAACCTTGTTCATGAATTCTAAAACCACATCCTGTGTTCTGCAGACACTTTCAAAGATGGGAGCCCACTACCATTGTATCGTCTGTTCAGCAACTATCTCGCGAAGAAGTGACATGATAAGTCACATTAATCGTCATGTGAATAAAGGAGAAACTGAGTCAAGGTTTTTTGCAGGTAGGTTCTGACTCGCATAAAACGATCAATCTTTTTATACTAGCTAGCACATGGAACAGCTGCGATATGTGGGTGAGAGACGTGGGAATCCAGCTACTCTCTTATTGATAAATAGTATTCTGTTCACAATTAGTTTAACGTTGTACGTGTTGGTTTGTGTCTCTCCGAAAGAACGAAGGACATGGAATCCATGAAACAAAATTTGTATGAAGAATTTAATGCTTATGTATTTGGTGGTGTGTGTTTGTAAATCGGTCTTGGGTAAATCTCTGCACTGTAAAAATCCTTTGCTTTCTCTCCACACTGCATCAACATGAATTCACAAAACAAGATTACTTTTTTCCAGTCCTGGACAGTCATGACAGAGCTCTCTGTGGTTCTTTGGTAGATGACAATCCTTTCCGACTTTCTCCAGAATCAAACTTTTTGTTTCTAAACTCATATAAATTAGAATGGAAGGATTTAAAATTACTGGAATGCCAAATGCAAGTTGTCTGTTCTTTACAGCTGTCAAGTAAAAAGTACATTATTGATTAGCCGGTGTGTAAAACTAAGGCTTTTTTACTACAGCCCATACTGTTCCTGTTGAAAATTGGGCTGGTGGTTTTTCTCTTTGTAGATTTTATCTAAATCCAATCTGAGACGAGCTGAGACTGGGAGCTGTGAGGTCACACTTCGTTCTGTTGCCAATACGCAGTCTGGGAGTTGTAGTTCAGTGTCTGTAGATCAACGTGCCTATTGAAGAGGGGATGTAGGACGTAGTCCATACCTTTAGCTTAAATAGGGTTTGTATTGTGAAATATATTAATCTCTGTATGGTTCCCTTCAGAGCTATCAGTAAATAATGACCCACTTGTCATTTTCCAACAAAATGCATGTGGCTGTTACTTTCCCACGGGGAGAGGAGCAGTTCTGAGGTCAGCTATTTACGCTTGGAGGCACTTCAGCATCACTTGGGCTGTGGACGTGGAGCGTGTGTAGAGC